TCAAAACCCCAAACAGTGGGAGTTTTCAGTTGTTTGCCTAAATATATAGGTGGTCATTTGTTTCTAATTTTCCTTCTTATTCTTATGTTTATACTCCTTGGTGAGAAATGTAGAGGGGTTATTGGCATTCTAAATCCTAATCCAATTTTTTCCCTTTTGATTCTTCTCAAATATAAACTTCTAAATGCAATTATTAGACATGTTAAGAGAAAATCTTTGATCATTATTATTTATTGAAAACAATTAGCTGCAGATTTATGCTTTCTACTGTTCTTATTAAGTTGCAGCTTTTTAAATATCGTGTGGCCTGCCCTTTTAAGTCTCTTTTTTCTAAAAGAAAAGCTCTAATAACTCACTCAGGAGCTTTCTCATAAAGGTTCCCAGGCATAAACTCATTAATAAGCTCCCATTCAGTGTGTGAATCCAATCACTGAAAATTGCATCCGAAAATTACTCTGCCCATTTTCAAATGATTTTTGGTTATTCCGGAAACATGCAAATGTTTTCCAGCCAGTTCATCCCAAGCTGTGTCTTTCTAAGGCATCACTGTGATATTTGTGCACCTATAGCTGCTTATTCGGGCGCTGTCTCTTTAAGACTGAGGATTTCCTCTGTGTTTGTTGTTGTTGTTGTTGTTGTTGTTGTTTTGTCGCCCCGCCCCCACCCCACCCCCCTCTATTTGTGGAGAGCAACTCTTCCCTCTCAGTCTTTCCTCTTTGGTTTTATTGCTCTGAAGCTAGTTAACGTCCCTCCGTTCTAGGGCCCTTTCTGCCATCCAGTGAGACAGGGACCCTCACTTCTGCTGCATGCTCCACCCTGAAAAAGGCACCTCTGTCGCACAGTTAGTCGGTAGGGTTGACTTTCAGACCGTGGCAAGTACTCCGGGAACCTGGTGGGGGACGACCCCTTGTCTGCTGGTTTGCGGTTTGCAGCCCAGACGACATCCCACCCGTGAACCTTCGGGTGTCTTTCGCGTCGCTCCCTCCGTTCAAGTCCGCGCTCGGCACTTGAAAGAAAGTGAGCGCCCTGTCACAGGGAGATTCACCCTGTGGGCGCGAGGGGCTGGTAAGTGATCCTTCCAGATCTGGGGGTGGGGTTGGCCTCCTGGCGGTGGGTGCCAGCTGAGTTTAATCTGCAGGCAAGGTTTCCCGGCCTGGAAGCCCGCCGGTGGCCTCCGCAAGCGGAAGGTGCGCTGTCAGGACTGTGGGAACACAGGTTTGTTCCCGGTTCTGCTTGGGTTCTCAGTCTCCCGCCCACCGTTTTGCCTTGACCAGGATTCCTCCCGCGTGGAACCAACGCCTTGGGATGCGCTGGAATGGGGGAAACCGACCCAGTGTGTGTTAGGATCACTCAGCCCCTTTGTTTAGAGGGCAGAGCTTTGGGTTCCTGTGTGAGCCTCGGCATCACTGTGATTTTGATGGGCCATATTTCCTTGGAATTAGGGAATAAAACAATTTTTTAAATAATGTGTGTGGCCTGATTGTTAATACAATTCTGCAAATGTCCCCGATGCCTCTTGAATGAGAATACAAAGTGTCACACAGAATTTAATTAAATAAAATATTTAATTAAATTATTTAATTAAATAAAATATTTAATTAAATTATTTAATTAAATAAATATTCTATCATTTTAGATTTGTACCAGTTCCATTTTCCTGCTTTTGTGGCCAACATTCAAAGAACATATTTCATTATTTGTACAAAATTTTTATCATTCTCTAAGTGATTCTTTAATAAGTGGGTGAAATCCAACCCCTATAAATTTTAACACACATTCAGACTTCTAACATCATGAAATAATGCAGCAATTTCATCAGAGATCAGTCATAATACTGTTATCTAGGCAATAGCTAACAATTGATTCCTCTTTCTTGTCATTTGGAAAATATATTCTTCTTTAACATGTAAAAAGACATGTATTTTAGAAGATATTTGTTTTTAACAAATCTCTGTCCTCACCTACATGAGATATATTATGTAGTTATCGAAAGTACTGGTACCCCTATTGCTCAGGAGATTATGAGGGCTTTAGGAACTCTTTGTCAGATACTGGGAGCAGAAACCAAACATGTATTTTTATGATGTGACACAGTAAATCTTTGCCTGCCACATCTTCACCCAACAGACATCACAGTAACCCTGTCAACAAAAAATACACAGGACCCTAGTTGTCACCACTTTCTTTTCCAGGTGTTTGTATGCCATTCCTAATTACTTGTAAGTTCCCATTATGTCCCAACTAGATCACACTCCCATTTGATAATGCTACTTTTCTGCCTTGAATGATTCTTTCTCTGCTTCTCTCATAACTCCCCTCAAGATTCATTTCATCTGTGGTACTTTTCCTTCCCTTCCCATTCTTCAGGTCAGGTTAATCACTCCACCTTTAGGCAACCACTGTAGATGTGAAGGGACCTACAATGCAACAGGTAGTTGGAGATATGGAAAGGAGGATGACAGCGTGTAAACGCATTTTTGGCATTGCACCTGTGCACTAAGGAGGTGACTTTGGAACTTAGGAGGCACTTAAGAATTATTTAATGACGAACTAAATGTTAATTGAGACTCACAAAGAACAGTCAAGATCATAGGTCAAACTGAATGATAGTGTAAGATCTAAGAACTTATGGGTAGCATAAAAATACACACTTTAATTCATTTATTCAAATAATACGTATTTAGTGGCAATCTTTCATTAAATTATAGAACAATTTTGCTGTGATTTTCCATTAGGGAGGAGTAGTTGGAGATTTTCCAGAAGAACAGAAGTCAGAGGACTAACAAAGTATTGCCAAACTACAAAGCACAAATTTTTGTGTTCTCAAGAGACTGAGGAATAAGGAAGGTTCTGGAGATAGATACTTCTGCCTCAGAGTAGTTGGTCCTATGAAATAAAGGAAGAATTTTACAGATGGTACAATGGATCCCTATAAATCAGGAATGTTTAAGGCTACATCTGTGAACTTTTTTTTTTTTTTGAGTTGGAGTCTCACTCTGTCACCCAGACTGGAGTGCAGTGGCTGCTCCTGGCCACCGCAGCCTCGACCTGCTGGGCTCCGGCGATCCTTCCGCCTCAGCCTTCCAAGTAGCTGGAGCTATAGGCTCGCGCTACCACTCCCGGCTAATTTTTTGATTTATTGTAGAGATGAGAGCTCGCCAAGTTGCCCAGGCAAGTCTCGAACCCACGGGCTCAGGCAATTCACTCACCTCAGCCTCCCAAAGCGCAGGATTACAGGCTGAGCCACCGAGCCCGGCTTGTGAACTTTAACCAATGAAATAGGCTAATAACATCAAGGGATCCATGAAAATAATGATGCATGGTTCAAAGGGTACACGTGATGGAATTCGTGCTGTAAAATATTGGGAGCTTCAACAAATGAAACTTCCACCTAAAGTACATCCTACATAAGAACAGTAGAATCTGGGCACTCAAACCAAAGATAATGGATTTTTTTAATAATAAAATTATGCTCTTAGCACATTGCCTTTGTATACCTTCCTGGATCCTCTAAGATAGTAGCCATCTAAAAATCAAGTTCAGATCTTTATACAAACAACTGATCTTATCCAGAGCAGTGAATCACAGCAGGATCATGCTGGAGACTGCACTCAGCTACTGGGGAGACCACTCCTGTCTATAGCATGACATATGACCATAGGTAGGGTGGATGCATATATCTCTGTTGATACACTATCATTTTTTCCTGATCTCTCTGTCTCCTATAGATTTTATAAATATTGTCAGCTAGGATAAAGGTATCCCAACCTCTCTATAATAGTTGATCCTTTTCAGAGACTAAAACAGACCTCAGGAGAAATTTTTGGTAACTAATGACAAGAATTTTTGCCGATGTGTGTATCAAACAATTTGTATTTGTGACACTGCAATACAGTTTGCACCGGACACCCAGAGAGTGTAATCTAACTTGCTTCGTTTTTTAAAAAGAGAGAGACAGAGACAGAGCAGTGTGGTGGGAAAAAAAAAAGTGTAGGTGTTGGAATCTGATAAACTAAATTTAGATCCCAACTCTGCTGCTTACAGCTGTGTGGATTTAGGCAAATTTCTAAGCCTGTCTGAATCACCATTCGCTTCATTTTTTTAATGAAGAAATAAATTTGTCTAAACAAGATTAAATTAGGTACCCAATTATTTCTTTCTCCTTACCTTTCATTAATATCAAAATGGCAGACTTACCAGGTTCTATATTTTCTCTCAAAATTTTCTGTCAATTTTCTCTTCAATAAAGCAGTAATAATGAAAATAAGCATGACTCAAATATAATTATTCTAATACTGCATCTAATCCTAATCTTTTGTCCTACCTCACTGAGAAAGCACATGAGAGTAACTGAAGATGTTTGCAAGTCATCAATCTATCATCATATATGAGCAAACACATTTTGTACATAAAGACTGAAAGTTATTAAGCAAAATGTATCCATATTGACTGAATACAGAGTCATATGCAGAACACAGCTTTTAACTAACTACATGGGAAAAGATTTAGAAAGCATTGGAGACTGAAATTATAATCACTGTTTTAAAGTTCTTTGAATGTAAGTATATAACAATGAGCTATATGTAGGCTAAATATGACTTCATAAGTTATAGCTTACAAACCAACAGTAAAGACTAGTGCTAAAATCAACAAACTAGAACCATATACAGACAGATGGAGTTCCAATTTTGAATTGAGTCAAATAGGACCATAGCTTGCGCCTCAATTTAAAAAACAATGATTAGAGTTATTTAAATAGCAAAAATGTTTAATTGATTTCCCTTTCCAAACAAACAGCAATATTAATATCAAGATGTATTTATGTCTCAAATGAAAGTCATTTGATCAATAAGCTTAATATTAAAATAAATACTCTTTTAAACAAGAAAGCAACGTCATAGTTGAAAAGATTTTAAAAATAAAAACACAATGACAGGATGCAAACACTTTTTCTCAAATAGTAAGCTAAGTTATTTTTTTCTTTCTTCCCAATCTCATAGTTATACTCTTGCTGGTCCTGACACCATTGAATGCCTGGCCAGTGGCAAGTGGAGTGGAAGTAACCAACAGTGTCTGGCTGTCTCCTGTGACGAACCTCCCAATGTGGACCACGCCTCTCCAGAGACTGCCCACCGGCTCTTTGGAGACATTGCATTCTACTACTGCTCAGATGGTTATAGCTTGGCAGACAATTCCCAGCTCCTCTGTAATGCTCAGGGCAAGTGGGTTCCCCCAGAGGGTCAGGACATGCCCCGTTGTATAGCTCATTTCTGTGAAAAACCTCCATCTGTTTCCTACAGTATCTTGGAATCTGTGAGCAAGGCAAAATTTGCAGCCGGCTCAGTTGTGAGCTTTAAATGCATGGAAGGTTTCGTGCTAAACACCTCAGCAAAGATCGAATGTATGAGAGGTGGACGGTGGGTCCCTTCTCCCATGTCCATCCAGTGCATCCCTGTGCGGTGTGGAGAGCCACCAGGCATCATGAATGGCTATGCGAGTGGGTCAAACTACAGTTTTGGAGCCATGGTGGCTTATAGCTGCAACAAAGGGTACTACATCAAAGGAGAAAAAAAGAACACCTGTGAAGCCACAGGACAGTGGAGTAGCCCCATACCCACATGCCACCCTGTGTCTTGCAATGAACCGCCTAAGATTGAGAATGGCTTCCTGGAGGTAAGAGACTAATTAGCAATTGGTCTGTGGCTTTCCTCACTTACAGAGCAAGTTCATTGTGGCAAATCCGCTATTCAGAAGCAGGGGCAATGAACAGATTAACTGTTGAAAAAAAAGAAGAGGCCAAAGTCTATAGACAGTGAAGATTGGAGAAAAATTAATAAAGATTATTATGAATCTTTTGGGTATATTAACTTTCTGCCTTTTACTAGCAATCAGTATTCTAAGTACTTTGTGGCAATATCTTAGCCCTAAATTTGAAGTTAAAGTAAGCCATGCTTAATACAATACTATTTTGCTTTATAGAAGGTACTTTAAGATACTTATATTATCAGAAGTCAAGTTCTAAATGGAACATAACGAAATTTGTTACTATTTTTAAAAATAATTTTAGGCAAAATATAGAATAAACCAACCAAGATGCAGTTTTTGCAATTCTCTTGGTAGACCTAAAGTTAATTTCACTTTAGTGGACAAGTAGTCAAGTTTGCACTAAATGTGCCCTGCTTTCACAGTAACACATGTCTTCTCAGTAAGTCCATCAAGAAAATAGCAATGAGAGCCTATTCTTCCAACTCAAAGGCCATTTTAAATAGACAATATTCTAATTAAACACTTGTTAAAGGCTGGTATTAACATATTACTTTTGCTACTTTATATTCAAAGACCTAACAAAACAGCAGTAAAAACCTTTTCCTTAAGGCTTTTGCTTAGATGTATTAACTTATTATTATTATTATTATTATTATTATCATTATTATTATTTTGAGGCAGTCTGTTGCTCAGACTGGAAGGCAATGTGGTGCAATCATAGCTCAAGTCATTCTCCTGCTTCAGCCTCCTGAGTAGCTAGGACTATAAGCATGTACCTCCATACTCAGCTTTGAGTGATTTTTGGTTTGTTTTTGGAAGTAGGGTCTTGCTGTGTTGCCCAGGCCTGTTTTGAACACTTGGCCTCAAGCAGTCCTCCTATCTCGGCCTCTCAAAGTGCTTGGATTGCAAAAGTGAGCCACTGTGCCTGGATCTAGATGTATTAGCTTGCTTGCTTGCTTTCCTTCTTTCTTTCTTTCTTTCTTTCTTTCTTTCTTTCTTTCTTTCTCTTTCTTTTTCTTTTCTTTTTCTTTTTTTTTTTTTTGAGTCAGGATCTCACCCTGTTGCCCAGGCTGGAGATCACTGGCACAATCACAGCTCACCACAGCCTTGAACTCCCGGGCTCAGGTCATCATTCTGTTTCAGCCTCCTGAGTAGCTTGAAACTACAAGCATGCACTACCACATCCAGCTAATTTTTTGTAGAGAGGAAGTCTTGCTATGTTGCCTGATCACAAATTTCTGGGCTCAAACAATTCTGCCTAGGCCTCCCAAAGTGCTGGGTTTACAGGCATGAGTCACCACGCCCAGCCCAGATATATTATCTTTTTACTGGAAAAGGGTATAGTGTATATATAAAAAGGCATTCTTCATTTATTAATTTAACAAATACTTCTAGAGCTCCTACTAGGTGCCAGGTACAGTTCTGAGCATTGACAATATAGCATTTAACAACATATTTTAGGTCTGTTATGGCATGGTGCTTACAAGCACGTGGAGTACTCAAGCAATCCATTAATAAACAAAACAGGCAATTCCAAAAACAGCTAAATTTACTAAGGCATGGAACCTGGAATTTACCATTAAAGCTCATAAATAATCATGGTGATATTTTCTAAATTTTCATAATTAATTCATCCATTGAATTAATTTATCTGTCTAAAATTGATCTGTCCTTATACACTGATTTGAATTTTGCAATCCTAAAATTTTTGTTTTAAAAAGTAGAGTATTCGTTTTTATTTTTCATTCTTATGTTATAGAAGCAATTTTTTTTAAGTGTGTTAAGAGCCGGGCTCGGTGGCTCAGCCTGAAATCCCATGCCTTGGGAGGCTGAAGTAAGTGGATTACCTGAGCCCGCGGGTTCGAGACCCACCTGGGCAACTTGGTGAGACCTTATCTCTACAATAAATCAAAAAATTAGCCGGGTGTGGTAGCGCACGCCTGTAGTTCCAGCTACTTGGAACGTTGAGGTGGAAGGATCGCCGGAGCCCAGCAGGTCGAGGCTGCGGTGGCCGGGAGTGGCCACTGCACTCCAGTTTAGGTGACAGAGTGAGACTCCAACACAAAAAAAAAAAAAAAATGTGTGCTAAGAATAAAAACAAAACTCTGATAGTATTCTAAGGACATATTCATGAAAAATATTTTGTCATTTTTATGATCCAACAACATTAACAAATACATATGCTTTTGTTTATGCATTTCCTATTCTAGCATTTCTTTGATCAACAAGATATTTTTGAATTTGATGAATAATTTATGACTTTTCAGTATTGCCTCACCATTTAATCAATCAGTATAGACAATTGATCTTTTACATTGCCATTTTCACTTGTAAAAAAAAAAAAGTACACATTAGAAAAAATATTCATTTTTATCTGCTTAAATCCTAGTTGATTCTTTTTTTTTTTTTTTTTTTTTTGAGTTGAAGTCTCACTCCGTCACTCAGGCTAGAGTGCAATGGCACACTCACGGCTACCCCAGCATTGACCTGCTGGGCTCTGGCGTTCCTTCTGCCTCAGCCTTCCAAGTAGCCAGAACTACAGGCCTGTGCTACCACGCCCAGCTAATTTTTTTTTATTTATTGTAGAGACGAGTTCTCGCCAATTTGCCCAGGCTGGTCTAGAACCTGCAGGCTCAGGCAATCCACTCACCTCAGCCTCCCAAAGTGCTGGGATTACAGACTGAGTCACTGAGCCCGGCCTGATTCATTTTAATATAGGCCTTTTAGTTTAATTCCTTCTTATTATACAAGTATTTGGTTAACTGTATCATATACAGATTGCACTCACTTGTCTTCTCCCTACTACACAGCATGCAACTGGCAGGGTCTTTGAGAGTGAAGTGAGGTACCAGTGTGACCCGGGATATAAGTCCATTGGAAGTCCTGTATTTGTCTGCCAAGCCAATCGCCACTGGTACAGTGAATCCCCTCTGTCATGCATCCCTCTCAACTGTGGAAAACCTTCCCCGATCCAGAATGGCTTCATGAAAGGAGACAATTTTGATGTGGGGTCCAAGGTTCAGTTTTTCTGTAATGAGGGTTATGAGCTTGTGGGTGACAGTTCTTGGACATGCCAGAAATCTGGCAAATGGAATAAGAAGCCAAACCAAAAGTGTGTGCCTGCCAAGTGCCCAGAGCCACCCCTTCTGGAAAACCAGCTAGTATTGAAGGAGTTGACTACTGAGTTAGGAGTGGTGACATTTTCATGTAAGGAAGGACATGCGCTACAAGGCCCCTCCATCCTGAAATGCTTGCCATCCCAGCAATGGAATGACTCTTTCCCTGTGTGTAAGACAGTTGTTTGCCTCCCACCTCCCCTAATTTCCTTTGGTGTCCCCACTCCTTCTTCTGCTCTTCATTTTGGAAGTACTGTCAAGTATTCTTGTGTAGAAGGGTTTTTCCTAAGAGGAGATCCTACCATCTTCTGCCAAGCTGATGGCACCTGGAGCTCCCCACTGCCAGAATGTGTTCCAGTAGAATGTCCCCAGCCTGAGGAAATCCTCAATGGCATCATCGATGTTCAAGGTCTTGCCTATCTCAGCACAGCTCTGTATTCCTGCAAGTCAGGCTTTGAGTTAGTGGGAAATACTACCATCCTTTGTGGAGAAAATGGCCACTGGCTTGGAGGAAAACCAACATGTAAACCCATTGAGTGCCCAAAGCCCAAGGAGATTTTGAATGGCAAATTTTCTCATACAGACCTGCACTATGGACAGACCATTACATATTCTTGCAACCAAGGCTTCCGGCTTGAAGGTCCAGAAACCGTGACCTGTTTAGAGACAGGTAATTGGGATGTAGATGCCCCATCATGTGAGGCCATCCACTGTAATTCCCCACAACCCATTGAAAATGGTTTTGTAGAGGGTGCGGATTATAGCTATGGTGCCATGATCATCTACAGCTGTTTTCCTGGGTTTCTGATTGCTGGACATGCCATGCAGACCTGTGAAGAGACAGGGTGGTCAAGCTCCATCCCAACATGTGTACCCATAGACTGTGGCCTCCCTCCTCACATAGACTTTGGAGACTGTACTAAAGTCAAAGATGGACAGGGAGACTTTGAAGAAGAAGATGACATGATGGAAGTTCCGTATGTGACGCCTCACCCTCCTCATCATGTGGGAGCAGTGGCTAAAACCTGGGAAAATACAAAGGAATCTCCTTCTGTACATTCATCAAACTTTCTATATGGCAACATTGTTTTATACACCTGTAATCCAGGATATGAACTTTTGGGGAACCCTGTGCTGATTTGCCAGGAAGATGGAACTTGGAATGGCAGTGCACCTTCTTGCATTTCAATTGAATGTGACTTGCCTACTGCTCCTGAAAATGGTTTCTTGCATTTTAAAGAGACTACAATGGGTAGTGCTGCGCAGTATAACTGTAAGCCTGGACACATTCTTGTGGGCTCTGACATAAGGCTTTGTCTACAGAATAGAAAGTGGAGTGGTGTTTCCCCGCATTGTGAAGCCATTTCATGCAAAAAGCCAAATCCAATCATCAATGGATCCATCAAAGGAAGCAACTACACATACCTAAGTGTGTTGTACTATGATTGTGACCCTGGGTATGCGCTGAACGGCATTGAGATGAGAACATGCCAAGAAGATAAAAATTGGGAAGGGGATGAGCCAGTCTGCATTCCTGTGGATTGTGGTTCACCCCCAGTCCCAGCCAATGGCAAGGTGAAAGGAGATGAGTACACATTCCAAAAAGAGATTAAATACACTTGCAATGAAGGCTTCTTGCTTGAGGGAGCAAGAAGTCGTGTTTGCCTTGCTGATGCAAGTTGGAGTGGAGTCACTCCCAACTGCATACCTGTCAGATGTGCTACCCCACCACAAGTGGCAAATGGAGTGATGGAAGGTCTGGACTATGGCTTCATGAAGGAAGTGATTTTCCACTGTCAAGAGGGCTACATGTTGCATGGTTCTCCAAAACTCACCTGTCAGTCAGATGGTAACTGGGACACAGAGGTTCCTCTCTGTAAACCAGTCAACTGTGGACCTCCTGAAGATCTTGCTCATGGTTTCCCTAATGGCTTTTCCTTTGTTCATGGGGGGCATATACAGTATCAGTGCTTTCCTGGTTATAAGCTCCATGGATGTTCTTCTAGAAGGTGTCTCTCCAATGGTTCCTGGAGTGGTAGCCCACCTTCCTGCCTGCCTTGCAGGTGTTCCACACCAATAATTCAATATGGAACTGTCAATGGGACAGATTTTGACTGTGGACAGACAGCCTGGATTCAGTGTTTCAAAGGCTTCAAGCTCCTGGGACTTTCTGAAATCACCTGTGAAGCCAATGGCCAGTGGCACTCCGAGTTGCCACACTGTGAACACATTTCTTGTGGTTCTCTCCCAATAATACCAAATGCTTTCATAAGTGAGAGCAGCCCTTGGAAGGAAAATGTGATAACATACAGCTGCAGGTCTGGGTATGTCATGCAAGGCAGTTCAGATCTGATTTGTACAGAAAAAGGAGTGTGGAGCCAGCCTCATCCAGTCTGTGAACCTCTGTCCTGTGGGCCCCCACCATCTGTCGCCAATGCAGTGGCAACTGGAGAGGTGCACACCTATGAAAGTAAAGTGAAACTCAGGTAAGACCATGGCTCTAGAGTCTCCATTGGGTGTAGGCCAGAGGATTATAAAATGAAAAGTGATAGATCAAAAATACAGCGAATTGGGAATGCATCATCTCTGGACTGGTCTCCAAACACTGATGCCTTTAACATTTGGCTTTATACTACCCATAGTTATATAGAAATCCATTGACTATAAAAATAAATGTATACTTTTTTCAGACTGTAATTTCTAACATAATAATCATGACTATCTTACTCTATTGAGCTTCATGAAACAGTGAAATCCTCTAGTTAGCTTGAAAAGCTCTGAAATCACGAAGCTCTCTTTTTAAACATTATGATAAATTTATTTGTAAGTATAGCTTTACAGTTATATTTATACATGTAAGTATTGGAAAAATAAGGCCAAAAGCCAAAGAATTCAGGTAAAAACCATATACCTTCATTAACATTATAAATAAGGGGGATATTTTAAAGGGGACTTCCGACCTATGCTAACATTTAATGCCCAAATAGTGATTTTTGCTGTCAGTTCCCTATCTAAAATGTGTCAGTAAAATAAAAAGTAGGAAAATATTAAATGAATTTATGGCTTAAAGTTTTATTGGTACAAATACCTATAATGTTCAAAGATATTGCAATACTCTAAACAGTTTAAATTTTATTTTGTGTCTAAATGAATTATGGATTATCATTAGCATATTGGCATGTTAAGTTTGAGTAATAATTTAACAATTCTTCTTAAACATTTCTGTTGTGGACATTTTAGCTTTATCTTTATATTTTCTTAATTGTAGTAGTAAGTAGATCCAAGATAGAACAGCAATAAGAAAGTCAAAGAGCAGTAAATCAGGCAATGAGCACGAAATCTACATACATTATTCCTTTCTTTTGAAATGCATACACTTTAAATTTTTTTATTTGGATGTTGGTGTGTCCAGTATATTAAGAAGCCATAATGTCACCCCTTCTCAAGACTTCCCTGTTTTTTATTACTTCTTGTATGCTGATTACATCATCTTTCAGACCTTTACTTTGTATCTGATAAACAGATCTCTTCAAGTTTGCAAAACCTCTGAGCCTACCTAGCCTGGGAATTTGTGAAATTGAAAAAATGTTATCCAATGATGAATGTTAAATAATTAAATTGTTTCATTAAAAAGTGTAATATGGCTGGGCTCGGTGGCTCAGCCTGTAATCCCGCGCCTTTGGGAGGCTGAGGTGAGTGGATTGCCTAAGCCCGCGGGTTCGAGACCCACCTGGGCAGCAAGACCTCATCTCTACAATAAATCAAAAAATCAGCTGGGCGTGGTAGCGCATGCCTGTAATTCTGGCTACTCGGAAGGCTGAGGCAGAAGGATCGCCAGAGCCTGGCAGGTCGAGGCTGTGGTGGCCGGGAGCGGTCACGGCACTCAAGTCTGAGCGACAGAGACTCCAACTCAAAAAAAAAAAAAAAAAAAGTGTAATATAGTGGTACAAGCATTTTTAGTAGTAGGAAGGAGCTTCGCTCTGTCACACTCTAGCTCTAGCTGTATGGCTTTAAGGAAGTTTCTTAATCTCTCCAGGGTTAATTTTACTGTCTGTAAAATGTGAATTAAGATAATAATAACACCTACTTATAAGGTTGATAAGAGAATTTAATAATTTAATATATGTAAAGTACATAGAACAGTAACTGGAATTTAAAAAGTGTTATATAAATATTTACTGGATAAATAAAAGCAAATTTTAAAAATAATAGAGAGTTTTAGAGCAGGCTGACTTGAGTTTAAACACACTAATACTACAGTTCCCTGATAGTGCCTAATAATTAGGATTAAAAGAAAGGCCTTAAGTAAAGAACCTAACAATGTTTGGCACAAAATAGATCATAAATATTAATTATGTTATATGCCTACTAGTATCTGAGTCCATTTTTGGCTTCATATAGAATTTTTGAACTGCTAACTGTTGTTAGAATAAAAATGAACACAACAATTTTACCCACAACAAAGGTAAATAGCATAAACAATATTTAAGTTAACTTTAGTCTTGGCTAATCTCTCATGCAGATAACTAAGAATTGATCTAGTAATTATTGTTATATTGATATCTTTGCATGCCAATGCCATCCATCTGACATTTGAATTAGTTTTGATATATTGCATAAAATGTCTACTGAGCTTTTAAAATGTAACAGCTTCTAAAATCTAAGAATAGGTCAGAAACTGTATTGTACTTCCTTTAAGGCATTCACTTTTGCATTTCCTTTGCAGATGTCAAGAAGGTTATATGATGGATACAGATATAGATACATTCACCTGTCAAAAAGATGGCCGTTGGTCTCCTGAAAGAATCTCCTGCAGTCCTAGAAAGTGTCCTCTGCCAGCAAACATAACACATATACTGGTTCATGGAGACGATTTTAGTGCGAATAAGCAAATTTCTGTGTCATGTGCAGAAGGGTATACCTATGAGGGAGTTAACATATCCACATGTCAGGTAAGACTCTGTCTTAATTAGAACGTGTAACTCCTGTATATACACTTATTGTCAAACAAACAGTAACTTGCTGCCCTAAAAAGAAAGAAATGCCTCAAATACTAAAAAGAAAAAATGTCTTTCACTCATAACAAAGGATTTGTGGAGTTTCTTGGTAGAAATATTAATAAAATGTATCCTTTTCCTTCAGCATTCCTATTTTTAAAGTAAGAACATGCAAAGATCAGGTTAAATGTTAAAATATCTGTAACAAGATATTCATGATAGATTAACCATAAATTGTATGCTTAAAATAGTATCTATGTGTAGAAGTCACTTGTGGGCTGTGCCCAATGTATTTTCAGTTTTATTGGAAAGACCAAAGGTGACAGAAGCAGGCAGAAAATTAGAGTCAAATTCTGCCTCTGTTATTTACTACTTGTGGGACCTTAAAAAAGTGACTTAAAGTTTCTGAGCTTCAGTTTTTTTATTTGGAGAAAAAAGTGTATAATAACATGTATCTTGTATTGTTGGCATGAGAAACAAGATAAATAATGGTGGAACGTGACTTCTGCAACCTTTGATCTTTCCACTAAAACTAGAAACATATTGGGCATGATTCATACTAATTTCTGCACATAGACACTCTTTTTAGCATAAGATTTATGGTTAAATTTTCATTAACATCTTGTTATAGGTATTTTAGCATTTTACCTAACTTGGGCATTTTTTTAGTTTAAAAAATGAGAATAGCACCATAGATAGTAAACCTCCCTAGCATATCCCCTTCTAGCTTCCATAGGATATACCAGAGAAAGAACATTAAAATGAGCCATTGATATACTCTTGCTGGAGTTGGGAACAGAGTGAGAGAAAAAAAAGGGGAGAAATATGGCATGGCATAGAAATGACTTTTACCTTAAGCATACTTTTGTTTGAACTGTGTCTTAAATATTTACAAGTTTTATAAGTTTATATTTCTCTAGTTTTTCTTTGTTTGTAAATCTGTGATAATTGAAAGGATTTAACTATTTAATGTGTATAAAATGTCTAGTACTTGCCTGACATACAGTATTTCTTCTCCCAATTTTCTATTTATAAATCATAGAAGCTCAGTGGTTGATTAATGCCAAACCTAATAGCAGAAATATTGCAGAGAGCAAGTCAAATGACAGCCAAAGTTATCATACCCTCAAAATTTCTGTAGATCCAGATGATTCCTTTTAGATTTAGAGCAGAGGAAGATTAAGGAAAACCTTTGTCTAAGACTCGAGGTGACTGAACCAGAGTGCCACCATAGTTAAGGGAATAAAATGATGTTTTCCAAGTGGGGAGTGTGGATAACTGGTGGTCCCACGTGAGCCCTGCAGGACCCTGTGATACTGGTGACTAAATTCTTTTTTTCTTTTTTGAGTCAACGAATTATTTTTGACAATCCTCATTACTTTCTCCACACACAGTATGACCTCTCTCCTTTGCTTAACTGGGTTTTGGCTTAATTTTTAGTCTGAAAGATAGAATAGATCCTTTCTATGTGTTTAAATGCATAAATTATATAAAACTGTGTTCAGTGTCTAGGAATATTTTGCTGTCATATAACAAAATGATTCTATAGTTTTTAGAATAAATAGATGGATGAGGAGAAGAGATCAATACAAATTCTGAAAAATAAGTTTTGAAGGAATAGTAGTCCCTTTAGAAATTAAGAAACATTACAGAATTATAAAACTCTTATCAGTGTGATATTTGTGTAAAATTAGTTAGAAGGAAACATGAATGGAGCAGAAGAAATGAGTCAGAAGTAGATCCTGATAAAGGAACTATTACAAATCTCTGGAGAAAAAAATTATTTGTAAATTATTCTGATATAATTAAGTAGCCATTATAGGAAAAATTTAAATAAGCAAAATTGAAAATTAAATACAATGTATACATAATAGGGAGATGGTTAACTATGATGCAGACATATACAAAATTACTTTTGGTTCATATGTATAATAAAATGTCTCAAATCTTATTAGGAACTGTAATCCAACTCTATACTATTTCCTCAAAGAAAATTTTAAAATTTTAGTAATAGAATAATAGTCTTCAAGAGATAAATTTGTGTATGCTTCACTTTACTCCACTGGAAGGCTGAAAAATTTTAACTCTGGTGGTAATAAACATAAATGTATATAATTTATTTACTACATGACCCCTTTAAAATTATATGTTAAAATGTTTTCAAGTATTTATATTGGAATGGAGAAAAGGAAGCCCATTTTTTAAAGCTTTGAGTGATATGCCTAAAATTTGCTGTTTCTCATACATTTTAAAATGTGGAATCATGTAAAATATAAGGATGCATTGTATAAGTCATGGACTCAACCTTCCTATCCTCATGCATTATAGTGAAACATTCTTATTAGTGTTCTTGATTTTAATGGACTCTGTTAGGAAGAAAATCCTTGTACTGTGGGCTTAAGAAATATCTAAAATTATATGGCAGTGACTATTATGGCCATCTAACAATTAATGTGTTTTTTTAAGGTCACAGATAATAAACAGTAAAAGTAGAACCAGACTCTAAGTGTTGACTATCATTTTAAGAATTATTCTGCCACATCACCAATATTTGCAAGCTTCTTCATTCACGTGTATTATCTCCTAAATATAACTTACAGCTTGTTATTTGTTACTCAGCTTGATGGTACCTGGGAACCACCATTTTCTGATGAATCCTGCAGTCCAGTTCCTTGTGGGAAACCTGAAAGTCCAGAATATGGATTTGTGGTTGGCAGTAAATATAGCTTTGAAAGTACAATTATTTATCAATGTAAACCTGGCTATGAATTAGAGGTGAGTACATTATTTACTGTAATTAATTTGTTTTTCTGATGTGTTTGGGGATACTTTTACTATTAGCACAAATTGGTTTCCCTGACTTTGGTCCTCAGACTCTATTATACTGTGTTGCCCGATATTCTAACATTTTCCAAGAAATTCTTCTAGGTGACTTATAATTTGGGGTGTTTTGTTTGGTTTTTTTTTTTTTTCATTTTTATTTTAGATTCGGGAATACACATGAATGTTCATTACATAGATGCATTGTGTATTGGTGGGGATTGGGTCTTAGGTGGCCTGTTCTCCAGATACTGAACATTGTACTCCACAGGTAATTTCTGAACCCTGACCCCCCTCCCCACCTTTCCCTTTATTAGTGTCCTCAGGGTCTATTATTTCCACCTTTGCTACCATTTAGCTCCCACAAGAGTGAGAACATGCAGTGTTTGGTTTTCTGTTTATGAGTCAGTTCACTTAGGATGATGATCCACAGCTCCATCCATGTTTGCAGCAAAGGACATGATCTCATTCTTTTTTATGGTTACATAGTACTCCATGGTGTACACATAGCACATTTTCTTTTTCCAGTCAATTGTTTGTGGGCACTCGGGTTTGTTCTATGATTTTTCTATTGTGAATAGTGCTACAATGAACATACAAGTACAGACATCTCTTTAATATATTGATTTTTTTTCTTGGGGTAGATCCCTGGTACTGAGATTGCTAGGTCAAATGATGATTCAATTTTAACTCTTTGAGAAATTTCCATACTGTTTTCAATAGCAATTGAACTAGTTTACAATCCCACTGACAGTTAATAGCCTTCCTTTTTCTGTGCAACCATGCCAAGATTTGTTGTTCTTTGACTTTCTAATTCTCACTTATAGTTTTAAAAAGCAAAATCAATCTCATATTAAAAAATCAAAGCCATGAAAAGGAAGAAGAAGCAAATTTGCAAGCTACAAGACAGATACCGTTACTTCAATTGACCATTTAGACCTGTGTTTCTACTTACTGGTAATCATACTCTATGACAGAGAAGTCTACCTGTCACCATGGGAGGTGACCACAAGGATTTAGGGTTGCAAAGCCAAGATTTCCTCAAGCAGTGAACTCATACCTTAGCATTGAGATGCCAAGTTCCTGAATGGCAGATCTGGCCTCAAAAATTCTCAGAGCAGTTCTAACCAAATGCCAACTTTATTCTTGAGACCACTCTTGGTTTGTAATATTAAAACCCCATCAACAGTGCCTAAGTCTCCCTGTTTCCTTTAATGGGAGGACAGCAATCAGTTTTGCTGAAACCATTACCATATTACCAAATTTGGAACTCAAGATGCCTACTTTACTTGACATAATGTTGTCATCTGGTTTTTCAGGAAACTCTTCTTTCCTATCTTTACTGTTATAGTGATATTTAAATGTAAGTTTGGCAGAAGTATTTATTACCCGTTTTCTGTTAAATTTATAGCATGGCCCATTATTTCCTGACCATGCCATCAAAGAATTACCATAAGATAGGTATATGAAAACTAGAACCAGGCTTATATGAATCTTGTTTTATTTCCTCAAAAGATTGGGGGAAAAAAAGAAGGGAAGAAGGATGATAATATGATGGTTGATTTCAATTGGGCAGTTTTCCTGTTTTTGAATCTAATTGTTCTTCATGTGAGAATACTAATCTTAAAATTTATTAAGAAAAAAACTAGTATAAAATTATGAAAAAATATACAGCAAACTGATGGATCATTAAATTTAAGGAAGTAAATTACTTACCTTAAAAATTTTTGGAAACATCCTGGTGTCAAATGCAAAATTGAGAGAGGTACAATAGAAATTTCTGTCACTGCAAGCTGGAAGTTAGAATCACCTAAGAAACTTTTTTTTTTCCAAATATTGATGTCCAGTTACTTGGAAGAATAACCAATTTCAAGTCTGGGGCAAGAAATGTAAAAGAATGCCTAGAAACCCTTGTTACATGAGATAGTAGGAAACATATCAAAGACTACATGTCAAAACAACACAGGAGCCAACTGGACAAGACTCTCACAGGCCAAGATGAGTCCATTTTAGCATTAACAAGAATAATAATGTCATTGAACTGGAACATATCAAATATGTCTTAGATGGTACTAGACATATTGATATTAAAATAATTAATTGAAAACCATTAGAGGATGTTTGTGAGCAAACTCATTATTTTGAAAGCAGACTACTTAAGAATTATCTTTTCAGTACTATCTGGATAACCAAATAGTAGATGAAGGGAAGTATTCCAGTTAATAAATGATAGAATTTATATAATGCTATAAGAAAGCGATTGGCAGTAATGGGAAACTATTGGTGGGGGGGGAGATTGGCAGTTGAGGGAAATTGCTAGGGGAGGGAGGGGCATACCTCATTAACAGGGGTACTTGCACGATCAATGTTTGTATACCTAAACCTGAATTGTACCCCACATCTTTATAATAAATTTTTTTTTAATGATAGAATTTAAATAGCAGATTTGTAACTCCCATGAATTAACGCATTTAGGTTATAATCATCAATGACTGCATACATGTTATAATTTATGTTCATTTGAATTCAGGCAAAAATAAAGTCCACACATTAAGACTGGTTTATATGTTTGTGATGGTTAATTTTATGTGTCAACTTGAGTGGGCCATGGGGTACCCAGATTAAATATCGCTTCTAGGTGTAACTGTTTCCACATGAGATTAGCATGTGAATCAGAGGAATCAGTAGAGCAGACTGATGTGCCTGTGGATGGGAAAACACAATGCCAACTATGAAAAAATTTTGCACCCCTACCCCTTCCCACAGATAAAATTGAATTTGAATTTGAAGCCTCTAAATCCAACGAACAGTTTCAGAGAGACCACAGTGAGGCAACTAGCAAAATTCTGTCTGTGAAAATGGCTATATGACCAGTTTTCCAGTGTCTGAAACAAATAAATTGACAGGGTAGAGTGTAGTAAATAGAGAAGGAACCTATAGTTTCAGAGAGACATTGTATTAGTTAGGACTTTCCAGAGAAACAGAACCAATAGAAGAGAGAGAGATTGTGAGAAATAGGTTCATACAATTATGGAGGCTAAATCCCATGGTCTGCCATCTGCAAGCTGGAGACACAGAAAAGCTAGTGATGTCATTTAGTCCAAGTCCAAAGGTCTGAAAACCAGGTGAGCCAAAGACATAAATCTCAGTCTGAGAATAGAAGATGAGATGAGCTCTCCCAGCTCTAGTAGTGAGGCAGGGAGAAAGAAGCAATTTCCTCCTTCTTCCATTCTTAGTTCTATACAGCCCCTCAATGGATTGGATGACGACACCCAACCACATTGAGGAGGTCAGTCGGCTTTACTGATTCCCCTGAATCACTTGCTGATCTTATGTGGAAACAGATACACCCAGAAGCAATATTTAATCAGGGCACCCCATGGCCTACTCAACTTGACACATAAAATTAACCATCACAAGCCGGGCTCGGTGGCTCAGCCTGTAATCCCGCGCCTTGGGAGGCTGAGGTGAGTGGATTGCCTGAGCCCATGGGTTCGACACCCGCCTGGGCAACTTGGTGAGACCTCATCTCTACAATAAATCAAAAAGTTAGCCGGGTGTGGTAGCGCGCGCCTGTAGTTCCAGCTACTTGGAAGGCTGAGGCGGAAGGATCCCCAGAGCCCAGCAGGTCGAGGCTGCGGTGGCCAGGAACGGCCACTGCACTCCAGTCTGGGTGACAGAGTGAGACTCCAACTCAAAAAAAAAAAATTAACCATCACAGACACATATACCAGTCTAAGCGTGTGGCCCTTATTTTCGTCCTAATTCAAATGAACCATAAAAAACATAAATTATAACATGTATGTAGCCATTGAAAATTTGAGCACTGGCCGTGCTCAGTGGCTCAACCTGTAATGCCGCGCTTTGGGAGGCCAAGGTGAGTGAATTGCGTGAGCCCGCGGGTTCGAGACCCGCCCGGGCAACTTGGTGAGCCCTCATCTCTACAATAAATAAAAAAAAAATTAGCCGGGCATGGTAGCGCGCGCCTGTAGGACTAGCTACTTGGAAGGCTGAGGCGGAAGGCTCCCTGGAGCCCAGCAGGTGGAAGCTGCGGTGGCTGGAAGCCGCCACTGCACTCCAGTCTGGACGACAGAGTGAGACTCCAACTCAAAAAAAAAAAGAAAGAAAGAAACTTTGAGCACTGACTGGACATTTTATTAATATTAAAGAATTGTTACTTTTTAAGGTGTGATGATGTTATTGTGGTTATAATTTTTATGAGATCTTTTAGAGAGATTTATACTGAAATAATTATTTAACTCATTAGATGGAGGAGATCAAAGAAGAAATACTACTGGGAAACTGATAAGATATTGACTACAATTAAGTACTTGAGTATAGTCCACCCTGGAAGTACCCAAATAGTTAGGTAGTTGGTTAGGGAATTAGATTTAAAGACTTGGCATCTACTTCCTCAAAATTAATTTTAAAAAATTCACAAATCTGAAAAGCATATTTTCCTATGCATACAAAAAGTACAGCAAATATTAACCCTTTATCTCTGGATAAAAAAATCCCAGAAAACTCTCTATTTTTCTTTTATATTTTCTAATCTATCTAAAATGAACATATATTACTTTTTCAATAAGAAAAAACAATGAATGAATATATATTTTTAATTTTAAACATGTGGGGTACAATTCTGGGTTACGTATACAAATGTTCATTATGCAGTTACCCTTGTTGATGAGGTGTGCCCCCACTCCCCTGGCAGTTTCCCATTACTGCCAATTCCTTTCTTATAGTATTATGATAGTAGTTCAAGGTCCACTTATGAATGAGAGCATGTGATACTTGGTTCTTTGTTTCTGTGATAGATCACTCAGTATTATAGACTCTAAGTCCATCTAAGCTGCTGCAATAATTTTGACCTTCTTTATGGTTGTGTAATATTCCATCGTGTATATGTACCACATTTTTTATCTGTCCTCTTTTGATAGGCAGCATGGTTGGTTCCATGTTTTTGCTATTGTGAATAATGCTGCAATAAACATGCGTGTGCAGGTATCTTTTTCATAGAGTGATTTGAGTTTCTCCGGGTATATTCCCAGTAGGGCGATTGTGGGGGTTGTATGGAAGGTGTTTAGATCTTTTAGGAATCGCCACACTGTTTTCCACAGAGACTGTACTAGTTTACAGTCCCACCAACAGTGTAGAAGTGTTTCATTTTCGCTGCATCTTCTCTAGCATGTGTTGTTTTTTTGAGTTATTGATGATGGCCATCCTGACTGGAGTTAGGTGGTATCTCAGTGTGGTTTTAATTTGCATTTCTTTGATGACTAGTGAGGTTGAGCATTTTTTCATGTATCTGAATGAATATTTGTAAGAACCATTTAATTTTACAGAATCAATTATTTTCTTGAAAAATCAGGACATTATCTTCCACCAAAGTCAATGGCATTTTTACAGGTAAAGACTTATCAGTAATTAAATGGATAGCTCAAAGAAAATATCTTTGAAAAGGAGAGTAAGAAAGATATCAGTCAATCCAGATAAAAACCAAAGAAAGCAATCGCTCCTTTTCAGACACCTTGCTGACTTGGAACACAGCTTTAAGACAATAAGATATTCAGAGTGCTCTGAGCAATGAAAAAAGTATGTCACAAAATCCATGTGCTGAATTTCATATACTTTAGAGTCAAGTCTCCTAAGACATTACTTAGAAAAATAATGTTTTAATTTAAAAAAATACATTACTTAGAAACTAATCTTTTTAAACATATAATGTTTTACACCTTTATTGATCTTATTTATTATTCCATAGTAGATTAGGAACTTAAAGTATGGAAAAGAATTATCATTAGGAATACTCATGATTACAGTAAGAGATAAATAACAGAGAAGGCGGAAGCAAAGTTTCATAAAAATGATACCCAGGAATCAAAGAATAGTGATCTTAACTAAATAACTATTGAAAAATATATTCAGAATAATAATTACAAGTCATTTTTCAAGTAAATTGTATTTTAGAAGTCAGGGAGTAAACTTTAGAAATATTTTAAAATTTTAAGTGCTTGGACGCTTAAACAGGTAGGTTTATATTTAATGAATAAGTTACATTGTGGATAAATTCAATCCTCGTATCAATGTGGTATCTTAGCAGGTTTCATGTGCAAGGGTGCAAAAAAAATCAGCTCACTGAAGAAAAGAAAACTCTTTTTTTTTTGAGTTGGAGTCTCACTCTGTCGCTCAGGCTGGAGTGCAGTGGCATGCTCACAGCCACCGCCGCCCCAACCTGCTGGGCTCAGGCGATCCTTCCACTTCAGCCTTCCAAGTAGCTGGAACCACAGGCCCATGCCACCACACCTGGCTAACTTTTTTATTTATTGTAGAGATGAGGTCTCACCAAGCTGCCCAGGTTGGTCTCGAACTCCTGGACTCAGGCAATCCTCTCACCTCAGCCTCCCAAATTGCTGGGATTACAGACTTGAGCCACTGTGCCCAGCTGAAAAGAGAACTCAATACTATTGGTGGGAGTGTATATTAGTACAGCCATTATAGAAAACAGTATATAGGTTTCTCAATAAATTAAAACAGAACAACCATATGATCCAGCAATCCCACTCTGGGTGTATAGCCAAAGGAAAGGAAATCAGCATGTCAAAGAGATACTGCACTCCCATGTTTATTGCAGCACTATTCACAATAACCAAGACATGAAATCAACCTAAGTATTCATCAGTAGAAGAATGGATAGAGAAATTGTGGGATATACAAATATACCCAATGAAATATTACTTAATCATAAAAAAAAGATAAAATCCTGTCATTTGCAGCAACATGGATGAACCAGGAGGACATTATATGAAGTGAAATAAGCCAGGCACAGAAAGACATTTTAAATACTGCATGATCTCCCTAATATGTCGTACCAAAAACAGTTGATCAGAAAGTTAGGGAGGGCAGACGCAAGGTAGAATGGGAAGAGATTGGTCAAAGGGTACAAAATTAGTAAGAGGTGTAAGTAGGATTACTATAGTTAACAATATTGTATTTTGTATTATTCCAAAGCAGCTAGAAGAGAGGATTTTGGATGTTCTTCCCAAAAAGAAATAAATATTTGAGGTAGTCAGTGTGTGAAATACCTTGACTTGATCATTACACAATGTATACATGTATTGAAACATCACAATGTACCCCATAAATAATTGCAGTTAGTATGTGCCAAAAATGTGTCAATTGAAAAATGAAAAATAGAAACCTTTAAAAAGTCACATTCTTTATTGTATCTCTCAGATATTGAAAAATAAATATAATTCAAAATTTTTTTTTTAATATTAGGGATGACCCAAAGAAAAAACAGAATTATCTTTTTGGAGGGCGGGCCCCTCATAGTACAGGCTTCCCCAGTTAGGTAAGTGTTCTAGGAACCTACTGGCATCAATGTACCAGCTAGCCTTGTTGTGAGAGGCTGCGTTTGGCTTCAATGAATTTTCTTTTGGAGATTTTTTCAACCCTTTTCCCGTTTCACCATGGGTGATTTATGAGCACACCTGCCCATACTGCACTGAGTGTTCAGCAGTTTTTGACCAAAAGCAGCATAATCCCCACGCCCCACCCTCCCTAATCACCCAATCTTGCCCCGAGCAACTTTTGTTTGTTTCCCTGGATGGTAAAAGTCCGCAAAGGGAAACATTTTGCTGATGTGGAAGAAGTGAAACAAAAAGACAGCAGAAGCACTAAGAGGCATCAAAATTGACAGATTCAAAAACTGTTTTGAGCAGTGGAAAAATCATCTGGATAGATGTATTGCCTCAAGCAGAGAGTACTTTGAAGGTGACTGAAGTTTAAACCTGCAAGAATCTACACATATCTTTAAACAAAAAAATTCCTGGTCCTTTTTTGGTCCCCCACCTCGTACACCAAGCAAATATACCTCTTTGACATTTGTGATACAGTCTTTGACAGTCATTCTTTGCTACAGTTTGCAATTAGCAAAATTGTAAACTAAAAGGTGACGCAAAGTCTGTTCCTTAATTGTACTAGTCTACTAAGGGTGTGAATTTTGAAGTAACTTGAAAACCTTTTTGAAAGTCTGAACCTACTCCTTAAACCATAATTATTTAATGTAGTTATTTAACATTCTAGTGCTTAGTGATTGAAGTTCATAGCTAAGATTACTTTGCATTTCCTTATTATCTTTCTGTTATGGATTTATGATCTTGTTGTTGACTTTTCTCCATTGATTCACAGGGGAACAGGGAACGTGTCTGTCAGGAAAACAGACAGTGGAGTGGAGGGGTAGCAACATGCAAAAGTAAGTTAAATGGCATTTATCATTCCCGAAAATGGCACTGAGGACACAAAAGAGCAGTGTGACCAAACATTTTATCTGTACATCAGTTGTACACATTTTTAAATAGGTTTTAAAAATATCTTCATAAACTACGAGAACTTCTCATGAGCTTTTGCTCAAGGGCACCAAACCAATAAGAAGGTCGAAAGTTGTAGTAGAGATCAATGATTAAACTGGAATGAAGCACAAATTACTGGTTCTGGAATCCCAAACATTTCATTTAAGAACTACTTAATTATTGAGCTTATTTGCATATTTGTGGGGTTTTTCTTTTTCCAAATAATTATAAATAAGGAGACTTAGAGATGTTTTAGGTGACAGCATTGACCAATATTGATATCTTTTTTTAAGTGTTATTGGTCCATTTGTACAATAAAGTAATATTCATATTTCACATGGAATTTTACATTCATTCATTTTATGAGAACAGCCAACTTCATATGGCAACATGTGGGTTCATTTACATGACCTTATTCCCAATATATGGCCCATGTGCTGCCTCTGCCAAAAAACAATGTATTTAGACACAGTATTTTCAAATCAGTCCAAGTGGTAAGCTTTTTCATTTCTTTTTTCTTGATGATCCTGGTGGAGTCATCAAACTTTCAAACTGGAAGGGGCCTTTTAGATGATCCAGGCCCATTGATTGACAAATGAGCAAATGGAGTTTAAGAGAGGCAAACTAACCTGTGCAATATCAGAAATCAAGTTAGTAGCTGAGCCATCACTAGGACTCCTGGATCCTGAACGCTTGTTCACTGTTGTTTCAACCATATCTCCTGAGGTATATTAATAAGCTAAATTTGTGTTGACTTCAGGAATCTAAAGTCTTTCTATGTTATTTTTATTTCAATCACTTTGGAAGGGAACAAATCATTTTTATCTGGGTTTTAAATATGCCCAACACCCTCACCTGTGTACGTTGTACCCAACGGGTGATTTCCTTGTCCCTCTACCCCTTCCAACCCTCCTCCTTCTGAGTCTCCAATGCCCATCATACCATTCTCTATGCCTTTGCAGGACCTTAGTTTAGCTCCCACTTATAAGTGAGAACATGTGGTGTTTGGTTTTCTGTTACTGAGTTAGTTCACTTAGGATTATATTCTCCAGTTCCATCCAAGTTGCTGTAAAAGACATTATTTCATTATTTTTGATAGCTGAATAGTATTCCATAGTGTATATGTACCACATTTTCATTACTCACTGATCAGTTGATGGGCATTTAGATTGATTCTTTACTATTGTGAATTGTGCTGCAATGAACAAGTGAGAACAGGTGTCTTTTTCTATAATTATCTCTGTTCTATTGAGTAGATACCTAGTAGTAGGATTGCTGGATTAAGTGGTAAATCTACTTTTAGTTTGAGAAATCTCCATAGTATTTTCCACAGAGGTTATACTAATGTACACTCGCACAAACTGTGTAAGCATTTCATTTTCTCTGCATTCTTGTGAGCATCTATTTTTTTTTAAATTATGGTCATTCTGACTGGTGTAAGGCAATATTCCTTTATGGTTTTAATTTGCATTTCCCTGATGATGAATGATGTTGAGCATTTTTTTACATGCTTGTTGGCCATATGTATATCTTCTTTCAAAAGATGTCTGTTCATGTCATTTACTTACTTTTTAATAGGGTTATTTGCTTTTTTTCTTGCTGATTTGTTTGAGTTCTGTGTAGATTCTAGATATTAGTCCTTTATCAGATGTATAGTCTGTGAAAAATATCTTCTTTCATTCTGTAGGTTGCCTGTTGTTTATTTCTGTTGTTTATTCCTTTTGCTGTGCAGAAGATTTTTAGTTTATTAAAATCCCACTTGTTTACTTTTGTTTGGGGTTTTTTTAATTTGCTTTTGAAGTTTTAGCCATAAATAATTTTGCTAGGATGATGTCCAGAAGAATTTTCCTAGGTTTTCTTCTAGGATTTTTATGGTTTCAGGTCTAACATTTAAGTCTTTAATCCATCTTTAGTTAATTTGTGTGTGGGGGGAGAAATAGGAATGAAGTTTCCTTTTTTCTACAAGTAGCTAGCCAATTTTTCCAGCACCATTTATTGAATAGGATGCCCTTTCTCCAGTGTATGTTTTTGTCTGCTTTGTCAAAGATCAGTTGGTTGTAGATATTTGGGTTTATTCTGGATCCTCTATTCTGTTCCATTGGTCTGCGTTTCTGCTCTTGTACCAGTACCATGCTAGTTTGGTTACTACACTCTTGTAGTATAATTTGAAGTCAGGTAATGTGATGCCTCCTGTTTTATTCTTTTTGACTTTTTTCCCTAATTCTGTGAAAAATGATGTTGGTAGTTTGATAGGAATTACATTGAATCTGTAGATTACTTTTGGTAATATGGTCATTTTAGCAAATGTTGACTCTTCAGATCCATGAGCATGGGATGTTTCTCCCTTTATTTGTGTCGCCTACGTTGCTTTCATCAGAATTTTATAGTCTGCCTTGTAAAGGTATTTCACCTCTTGCTTAAATACAGTCCTAAGTAGTTTAATTTTTTGGCTGCTATTGTAAGTGAAACTGAGTTCTTGATTTGATTCTCAGGTTGGCTGCTACTGTTGTATAGCAGTGCTACTGATATGTGTGTGTTGATTTTGTATCCTGAAACTTTACCAAATTCATTTATCAAGTCCAGCAGTCTTCAGGATTCTTTAGGTATGAGATCATATCATCAGCATACAGAGGTAGTTTGATTTCCTCTTTTCCAGTTTGGATACTCTTTATTTCTATTTCTTGTCTGATTTCTCTGGCTAGGACTTCCAGTACTATGTTGAATAGTAGTGATGAAAATGGGTATCCTTGCCTTGTTCCAGTTCTTGTGGGGGAATGCATTCAACTTTTCTCCATTCAGGATGACACTGGCTGTGAGTTTGTCATATATGGTTTTTATTAATTTGAAGAATGCTCTCTCTGTGCCTATTTTGCTGAGGCTTTTTATCATGAAAGAATGCAGGATTTTATCAAATACTATTCTTGTGTCTATTAAAATGATCATATGATTTTTGTTTTTAATTCTGCTTATGTAGTGGATCATGTTTATTGACTTATATATGTTGAACCACACTTGCATCCCTGGGATAAAACCCATTTGGTTGTGTGTGTTATTTTTGTGTGTGTGCAATTGAATTTGGTTTGCTATTATTTTATTGAGAATAATTGCATCTATATTCAGAAGGGATATTGGCCTATAGTTTTATTTTTTTGTTGTGTCTTTTCCTAGTTTTAGTATCAAAGTTATACTGGCATTATAGAATGAGTTAGGGAAGATTCCCACCTCTTTGATCCTGTGGAATTGCTTCAGTAAAATTGGTACCAATTCGTCTTTCAAGGTCTGCTAGAATTCAGCTGTGAGTCCATCAGGTCCTGGATTTTATTTATTGGGATACTTCTAATTACTGTTTCAGTCTCCTCACTGTTGTTCTGTTCAGGGTTTCTATTTTTTCCTAATTCAATGTTGGAGGTTGTATATTCCCAAGAATGTATCCATTTCCTCTAGATTGTCAAGTTTGTTTACATACAGGTGATCATAATAGTCTCAAATGACCTTTTGAATTTCTGTCATATCGGTTGTGATGTCTCCATTTCCATTTCTGATTGAGATGATTTTAATGTACTCTGTTTCTTAATCTAGCAAGCAACCCATCAATTTTGTTTATCCTTTTAAAGAACCAACTTTTTGTTTCATTGATCCTTTGTAATTTTTTTAAATTTCAATTTCATTTAGTTCTGCTGATATTCATTATTTCTTCTCTTCTGCTACCATTGGGGTTGGTCTGTTAATGCTTTTCTAGTTTCTTAAGATGTGATGTTAGGTTGTGTATATGAGATCTTTCAGTGTTATTAATGTAGGCCTTAAGTGCTATAAATTTTCCTTGGACACAGTTTTGACTGTGTTCCAGAGATTTTAATAACTTGTTACACTGTTGTCATTCATTTTTAGGAATTTTTTAATTTCTATCTTGATTTCATTGTTGACCCAAGGATCATTCAGGAGCAGGTTGTTTAGCTTCCATGTTTTTGTTTGATTTTATGAGTTCTTTGAGTTAATTTCTAGTTTTATTTCACTGTGGTCTGAGAAGGTTCTTGATACAATTCAATTTTTTGAATTTATTGAGACTTGATCTGTGGTCTATCAAATGGTCCATCTTGAAGAATGTTACATATGCTGTTGAGAAAAATGTATATCTTGCAATTTGGGGATGGATTTTTCTGTAGATGTCTGTTAGTTCCATGTTCTTTGAAAAGATAAACAAAACTGATAGACTGCTAGCTAGCTTAATCAAAAATGAAAATGGACACCTATGATTCTTAGGTTTGGGCATTTTACATAATCCCACATTTCTTGAAGACTGTGTTCCATTCTCTTGATTCTTTTTTTCTTTATTGTCATCTGATTCAGTTAATACAAGCCTTGTCTTCCAGTTCTGAGAGCCTTTCTTCCGCTTGTTCTAGTCTACTATTAAAACTCCCCACTGTGTTTTGTGCTCCTCTAAATGATTCTTTCATTTCCACAGTTTTAGCTTGGTTTTGTTTTTAAGGTGTCTACCTCTTTGGGGAAATTTTCATTCATGTTCTGATTGCTTTGGGTTTTTTAAAATTTCTATATATTGGTTTTCAATTTTCTCCAAAGTTCATTTATCAATTGTATAATCAACCTTTTGAATTCCATGTTATATAGCCTTGATCTGGTGAGTTTCTCAGTTGCCAGCTGTCCAATCCTGTGCTGGGTACCTGCACTGGCTCTCAGCATCCTGAGTGACTGCAGTGGCCTGGAAAATGATGTTACCTGGGGTTTGGGATCAGGCCTTCCCCAAAGCTGAGGTATTATATCTGGTGATTTCCCAAATTCTCTGTCTGTTTTGAGCCTCCCAGGGGAGTACAGGGGGAAAGAGCTGAAGCAGTCCACAAGTTTGCACTCTCTTCCCAGTGGGGATTAAGAGGGAGTCCCAGGCCACTAGGGGAATGATGTTGTGCAAGGCAACACAGAAGAGTTTACATGGGGAGTGAAAGGTTGCTCTGGCAAGGAATCCCACCAGGCTCCTGATTTAGCCTCAGACTATTTACCTTGTGGAATATCAAAGTGCTGCTGACTTAAGGCCTCAGGTATTCTTAGTCTGCTGCTGTGGAATTTGCCCTTGGGGCATGTCCCCTCCCATGCCAGCTAGATAGCAGCTACACCGCCCATAAGGGTTGAGTATCTGTGAAATGATGGCTGGCATCACTCAAGTTTTGGTTTTTTGTTTTGTTTTGTTTTCTTACATCTTGTGGTTTGGCAGAGTACAGCTGTGGGTAAGGTGCTGTGGGTAAGGTACTGTGGGTAAGGTAGTTCCCATGAGGGACTGGAGTCCTGCAAGGATCAGGGGGCGCTCCAAGTCCACAAGAGGGCAGTACTCCTGAATTCCCCTCACTCACCTTCCCTGCTGCATCTGGAGGCTTCCAGAGGCAGCCAGTGGACTGTGGTGATGCAGGAAAGATTCTGGTCAGTTCCAGCCAATGTCGATGAATTTTTCTCTTCTGTGTGATTATTATTATTATTATTATTATTTTGAGTTGGAGTCTCACTCTGTCGCCCAGATTAGAGTGCAGTGACCGCTCCCGGCCTCGACCTGCTGGGCTCCGGCGATCCTTCCGCCTCAGCCTTCCAAGTAGCTGGAATTACAGGCATGCGCTACCACGCCCAGCTGATTTTTTGATTTATTGTAGAGATGAGGTCTCACCAAGTTGCCCAGGCGGGTCTCGAACTCGCGGGCTCAGGCAATCCACTCACCTCAGCCTCCCAAGGCGCGGGATTACAGGCTGAGCCACGGAGCCGGCTTCTTCTGTGTGATTATTATCACTCCTTTGAAGAGTCATGGGGCATGCTGCTGGTCCCATTTCTCTCTGGGTGCTAAGGAAACGCTATCTTGGTTTACTCTGTGATAGAAACACTACTCTAGCTGCTTCACCTAAAGTCTTTAAGGAAAATTATATGACAGAAACTCAGTGGAGAACATATAGCTTTTAGTTCTCAAAACTTTGGATAAATATTATATAGAAAAGTACTTTTTAAATATTGAATAGTATCTCGAGTCACAGGAATGTGTTATTTATTTAGGACATTGGGCATTCCTGATATGAGTTTATTTTTATCTCAACCGCTCATGATCAAATAGTGTGTGTATGTATATGCAGGAGAGAAGAATGGGGAATGAAAAGGAAACATACCTACATGTCTGGCATTAGAAACCCTCATGGTGTTGGAAAGGAGAGTTGTTTCCATTTTGTAGAGATTAGTCCATCCTTTTGAAATGCAAGATAGTAATAGAAAACTCTGTATCCTATTATTTATTCCCTGTGGTTTTCTTTTCTTTTAATTTCTAAATTAATAAATAAAGGATACAAGTGCATTGCAGGAAATTAGAAAACACAAATAAGCAAATCAAAAATAATTTTAATCACACTACTCAGGATTAAAACTATTGATATTTTGATATATTTTATTATACTTTTTTCCCTAGGCATATCAAAAACACAAATATTTCTGGAGGAAAAAGTGTTCATACTGAGCAATCTGATCTGAAAGATCATTATATAATTTACTAATTATTAAATATATTAATATCCGTTATCTATCAAATTTCTCTGAAGCCCATTCAAGTCAGCAGGAGTCCCTAGACCAGCATTCTCCAAAGTATGACCTGCAGCCTAGCAGCACAGTAGATCTACAGACTAGATCCCATCAGCACCTGGGATCTTGTTAGAAACTGAGAATCTCAGGCCCCAGCCAATGCTACTGAATCAAAATTTGCATTTTAACAAAATCCCTAGATGATTCCCATGCACATTATAGTTAGAGCAGCACCACCTTTGACCTGTGGTTTAATATCCATTGGAATATCCTAGGGAGTTTTGAAAATTCCCAAAGCTCAGTCTGCACCCTGTATCAGAATCTTTGGGGATAGGAACCAGCATCACTACCTTTTTCAAGCTCCTCACATTACTCCAAAGTACGACTAAGGTTAAGATCCATGGTCCCAGTCTTAAAGCCCACCAGACTGAAAGATGCCCAAAGATGTCCGTTAGCACCATATCCAGGGTCCAGGGACTCTCAGCTCCAACTGAGCATTGGAATCTTTTAGGGAGTTTTTTTGTTGGTGTTTTGTTTTTGAGAAAGCACGATTTATTGAGAGGACAGAAAAGCTCCCACAGTGGGGGACCTGAGGGGGTTGTCCCATTTGAGAAACTTTTAATAAAATACCAGAAGCTAGACTACAACATAGAGATTCTGACTCATTCGGTCTGGGATAGGCCATAAAAGCTTCCCAGGACTCTAAAGTATAGCCAAAATTGAGAGCCACTAGTCTAGAATCACCTTCTCTGTATTAGAGAAAATTATGAAATTAAGATTCAAGTCCGTTGTTTAAGTGTAGGAAGGGTGATTCTGCTTTCCTCATAGTGTTTTCCTGTTAATAGCATTTCTCACAATGATCCACAATCATTCTTTATAACTTACACTACCTTACAGTTCATGAAGTTGGCATATCCCTCAAGAGCCATATAAAATGTCCCTTTTTCTAATTTTCCCTCAGCTTCTGGGTTCCTGTTCTTTGTACTTTCCTTTTTTTATTTTACCTTCTGATGGTTTTATATTTTATATCAACTGATAAGCAGTATAACCCTGCCCAAATATTTAACCTCGCTAATTCTCACTTTTCTTCAACTGTTGAATGAGATAATCTCAGGTAAGGTGGCCAGATTTAGAATTTAAAAAAAAACAAAGCAGGAAACTCTATTAAATTTAAATTTCAAATAAAAAATAATTTCAATGTAAATCTGTCTCATGCAATATTTAATACATGCTTATTTACTAAAAATGTATTTATCTATATATTTATTGTGTATTCAATTTAACTGGGCATCCTGTATTTTATCTGGGTTTACAATTTAAGTTTTATAGGAAATAAATCTGGGCCAGGCTTGGTGGCTCAGCCTGTAATCCCAGCACTTTGGGAGACGGAGGTGAGTGGATTGCCTGAGCTTGCAGGTTCAAGACCTGCCTGGGCAACTTGGTGAGACCTCATCTCCACAATAAATCAAAAATTAGCCAGGTGTGGTAGCGCATGCCTGTAGTTCCGGCTACTTGGAAGGCTGAGGTGGAAGGATTGCCGGAGCCCAGCAGGTCGAGGCTGTGGTGGCCGGGAGCGGCCACTGCACTCCAGTCTAGATGACAGAGTGAGACTTCAACTGAAAAAAAAAAAAAGAAAGAAAGAAAGAAATCTAATATTGTATAGAAAGTTCTTGGCCACTCTTAGCAACTTAAAAATGAGATTATTAAAGTTTATCCACCTGCTTATTCATATGCCCCTCCTCTTGGTATTATTAATTATATTATTAGTATTATTACTAACAAAATACATAAAGGCAGCTAACGTCAACAGGAATAAAAAGTAATCTTTAATCACTTGCATGTATTAATCCAATACGGATGTATGCTATGTTTTTCTCCTTCCATGACTATCATTGTGCCTTACATACTAGTGGGCCATAATATTGTATATATTGCATGAAGCACCTTTGGCAAACTGGAGCAAAAGAAGGAAAGAGGACTTGGAGAAGCATTTAATAAAAAGCTTTTATTCTTCTTTTTAGAGACCAGGTGTGAAGCGCCACTTGAATTTCTGAATGGGAAGACTGACATTGAAAACACAACCACTGGACCCAGCGTGGTATACTCCTGCAACAGAGGCTACAGCCTTGAAGGGCTGCCCAAGGCACACTGCACAGAAAATGGAACCTGGAGTCACCCAGCTCCTTTCTGCAAACGTGTGTGTTGACTTAGGAGAGATTTTTAATCAGATTTGGTTTCATGATAAGATTTCCACATACCTAAAACCTAGAGGAAACTCCTCTAATACAGGATGTTGGCAAAGAAAACAGTTCATATGTATTAAAATTGGATTCTAGAGGTATTTTTAAAATCTAGTTTTGTTATCTAAGTCCTATCTGATAGTCAACTTGTATCAGACTCCTTGCATAATTACAAGTCAAAGTCAATAAGAGAAAATGCAACTTAATGAAAAAAATTTTACCCAAATATAATGAATTATACTGGAGATAGGAAAGAGGTAAAGAAAGAAAATGCATTTAAAGTGAATTAGATCTTATCTGATTTTACCTATACAAATAATTTTGTGTGGATTCAAAACAAGTATGTGTTTAATGTTTGAAGTTCTATGTTTTTAAGTCTCATATAATCATCACTGAGAACCCATCTCCTATAAGATTCCTACTCTGCCTTCAAAGAAATAAATTAGGAAAAGAAGGAAAATATCAGTAAGCATTTTCTTTTCTTTTTAACAGCAAATCCATGCCCTGTCCCTTTTGTGATCCCTGAGAACGCTCTGCTTTCTGAAAAGGAGTTTTATGTTGATCAGAATGTGTCTATCAGGTGTAGGGAAGGCTTCCTGCTCCAGGGCCAAGGCATCATTACCTGCAACCCTGACGAGACATGGACACAGACAAGTGCCAAATGTGAAAGTAAGTCAACAGGCGGAACCAGTTATTTCCATTAGTGCAAAATGTTTTCCCATCTCTGTGAGTTTATTTTCAGTCAAGTAACTTAGTTGTAGATATTTAGATCTCTGATCATAGTTATCACATAGTTCATAATTATATCATAGATCACAGTTATTACTAATGTTTGAAATTCAAAAAAAGATACTGGAATTTCAAACATTAAAAAAAAAAAAAAAATTCCCGGAACTAAGTTGAAACCTACCTGACCAGGATTTACTCAACAGATCTTCAAAATGTGATCTTCTAAGAATGAACAAGGTATTAAGCTTAAAATATACATTTCTCTCCACACTGTCAGAGTCTTCAACCTATCCTTTAATAGGCTATGGATGCCTTGCAATACAAAAAATTATTCCTTGATTATTTTAAAACTTAAGCCTGCATCAAAACTACCCAGAGAGGTTATTAAAAACCTGTTGAGGACCACCTTCAAGTTCCTGATTTTAGGAGGTCTGGAATGAAGCCTGAGAATACACATTTACCACAAATTCCTAAGTGCTGCTGATAAGGATACTACTAGTCCAAAAACCACAATTTGAGACCTCTGGGCTGGTACCATATTGCTACATCCATGCAATCTGGCAGCATCTCTTGTTGCCTTGTGATAACTCTTGACTTCTCTAAACACACACTTCCACTTCCATTTAAAACATCACCCTGCCCAAATTCCTGCCCTCCAGGCTCTCTTGTCTAACTACTTTCACTACAGCAATCAATTAAAATATAAATTGAAGCTAACCAGATGCAAGGCACCAGGCTGCATTATATAGGGATATATTATGCCTACAACAGTCTTCATCTTCAGAACACTTGTCCTCCAATTAATGAGATAAGAAATTTTTTTAAAAACACAGAGATTCTGGTATCCTAGACGACCTGGGTTTGAATTTCACCCTTAAAATGTTTAACTCTGAACTTATGCTAGTACCTTAACTTAGCTGAGTCTTGGAGCTGCCGTTTGTTAATAGCATCAATAATACCTGTCTTATAGGTATCTTATAGGTTTGTTTTAAAATAAATAAATAAATTGGTGTGCATTAGCAATATCTTCTGATAGGAAGAGATATGCGAGAGACCAAGTTCCTGAATTTCCAGCCAGCAGCCCAGTGCAGCATTTGAATGTTGACTTCACTCCAGGTCAATGTGTATTATACATCTAGCCAGATTTGGGTCCCAAATATATATGAAATCTACTCCTAGTGAAATGGAAGGAAGGAAGTATGTATAAGCTGGACGTTTCTCTCTGACTCTCTAAATGTGGTTTAAAACCACCAGTCTGAAGCAAAGCAGACCAACTGGTTTTGTTCTACTCACATATCTTACCTTGAGCTCCGCTCCCCACTAGGATCACTGGAAGAAAGGGCAAGAAGAGACATACGCTTATTGAAAGTGTCCCTTCTATGCACACTTAATTATTCCTCAATATTATTGAGAGAATGAGGGATAGCCTTGGAGAGAAGGAGATTACTATATTTTGTTATCACCAATCTTCTTTTACATTTTCTACTAGAAAAGAATTCCTTAGCTTCAAACAAAAATCTTTCTCTCACACGATCAGCAACCTTCTTCATTTTTTCATGTAGTCCTGATATTTATCCCTAAAAAGCAATGATTAAAATGTAGTTTACTAGCCGGGCTCGGTGGCTCAGCCTGTAATCCCGCGCCTTTGGGAGGCTGAGGTGAGTGGATTGCCTGAGCCCACGGGTTCGAGACCTGCCTGGGCAGCGAGACCTCATCTCTACAATAAATCAAAAAATCAGCCAGGCGTGGTAACGCATGCCTGTAATTCCGGCTACTTGGAAGACTGAGGCGGAAGGATCGCTGGAGCCCAGCAGGTCGAGGCTGCGGTGGCCGGGAGCAGCCACTGCAGTCCAGTCTGGGCAACAGAGTGAGACTCCAACTCAAAAAAAAAAAAAATGTAGTTTACTGGAGAATCACCCAAGGAGATCATGTAAGTTGCAGATTCATAAGCCAGAAACCCCAGAAATGTACATTTTTTTGTAAGAACCCCAGGTGATTCTCATCTAGGTGGTCTGAAATCCATGCTTTGATAACCACTGCAATAAACCAGCTGCTCATCATGATGTTTTTACAGGCTGTTGCCCCAACTTGGAAGCTCTTTCCCTCTGATCCACCCAAACTGTATAGCCCAGCTTTTCACTACCATTCATAACCTGACAATTCTAATCATAATTAGTTACAAACCACAGTTTTTCTACAGTATGCTATTCCTAACTCTAATGCAGTTCATTTTAGGTTGCATTGCAATATTTATTTTTTATACATTTTTTTTTGTTTTCAAGATATGGAGTACAATTCAGGATTAGGTTATACAAGTGGTCATCGTACAGGTAAAGTTTGAACCTCCCTTTGGTCCCCACTTTACCTAGTTTGAGATCAGGTGCCCTTATTGGTGTTGTATCTCTTCTCCCCCACCCCCTGGCAGTATCCTGCTTCTGCCAATCCCTTTCTTATAGTATTATAGTAAATGTTCAGGGTCCATTTATGAGTGAGAACATGTGGTACTCTGTTCTTTGTTTCTGTGACAGATCACTGAGTATGATCGACTCTAGATCCATCCAAGTTGATGTGAAGTCAATATGTTTGTCCTTCTTTATGACTGCATAATATTCCATCGTGTATATGTACCACATTTTTTTATCCAGTCCAGTTTTGATGGGCAATACAGTTGATTCCATGTTTTTGCTATCATAAGTAGAGCTGCAATAAACATGTGTTTGCAGGTATCTTTTTTGTAGAATGATTTGAGTTCCTCTGGGTATATTCCCAGTAGGGGGATTGCTAGATCATATGGAAAGTCAATGTCTAGTTCTTTTAGAAATTGCCATACTGTTTTCCAAAGAGGTTGTACTAGTTTGCATTCTCACCAGCAGTGTAGAAGCATTCCTTTTTCTCCACATGCTCACCAGCATCTGTTGTTTTTTTTATTAATAATGGTCATTCTTACTGTGGTTAGGTGGGATCTCACTGTGGTTTTGATTTGCTTTTCTCTGATGATGATTGAGGCTGAGCACTTTTTCATGTGTCTGTTGGGTGCTCGCATATCTTATTTTGAGAAGTATCTATTCATGTCTTTTGCCCACTTTTTAATGTGACTGTTTGCTTTTTTCCGTTCTGCATGTTTGAGCTTCTGTAGTTCCTGGATGTTAGGCCCTTGTCAGATATACAGTTGGCAAGTATTTTTTCCCATTCTGTGGGCTGTCTCCACACTCTCTTGATGGTTTCTTTGGCTTTGCAGAAGCTTTTCAGTTTGATGAAGTCCCACTTGTGTATATTATCTCTTATGGCATGGGCACTTGGGTTTTTTTGTTTTGTTTTGTTTTGTTTTGAGTTGGAGTCTCACTCTGTCACCCAGACTGGAGTGCAGTGGCCGCTCCTGGCCACCGCAGCCTCAACCTGCTGGTCTCCGGCGATCCTTCCGCTCAGCCTTCCAAGTAGTTGGAACTACAGGCGCGCACTACCACTCCCGGCTAATTTTTTTTATTTATTGTAGAGATGAGGTCTCACCAAGTTGCCCAGGTGGGTCTCGAACCCGTGGGCTCAGGCAATCCACTCACCTCAGCCTCCCAAAGTGCGAGATTACAGGCTGAGCCACCAAGCCTGGCTGGGTACTTGGGGTCTTGATCAGGAATTGGTTCCTACTCTGATTTCTGTAAGGGTGTCTCCTGCATTTTCTAAGATTCCTACCTTGTAATCCATCCAAGAATAATTCTAGTTATCTGAAGGCTTCTTGTAAAATTCTCAAAGAAAAATTAATAATAAAATTTTTTATTTAAAAATACACCATGTCTCCTTTAAAAAAAAATTGTCATTCAATCTAACAAAATCCCAAAAGTAAAAAGTCACTGCCTTACCATATTGAAATGAGGGGAACTAGTCCAGGTGTGGCAGCTTATGCCTATAATCCCAGCATTTTGGAAGGCCAAGGTGGGAGTTTGAAGATTTATACTTAAGACTTTGATCAATTTAGAGTTGATTTTGTGTATGGTGATAGGTAGGGGTCCTGTTTCAATCTTCTGCATGTGGTCTGCCAGTTTTCCCAGACTATTTACTGAATAGGTTCTCCTCTCCCCAGTGGTTGTTGTTGGAGACTTTGTCAAAGATAAGTTGGTTGAAAAATTGAGATTTTTCTTCTGGAATCTCTGTCCTGTTCCATTACTCCATATGCCTATTTGTGTACCAGTACCAGGCTGTTTTGATTATTGTAGCCTTGTAGTAAAGTTTAAAGTCTTAAAGTGTGATATCTCCTGCTTTGTTTTTTGCGAAGTATTGTTTTGACTATTCATGGTCATTTATGTTTCTATATGAATTTCTGTATTGTCATTTCCAGGTCTGAGAAGAATG